ATCTACCACCTATAACAATATTTTGTACAAAATTGTTATAATCTCAAACATAGCGTCCAGTGTAGGTGGTGTTCTATATAGATAAGCTACATTGGTTTGTGTCTGAACTAGCTGTAAAAAGATGCCCGGGTAGTTCAGACACAAACCACGGCAAAAAGGAAGATATTTTTCATCCTTTCTATCAGATTTATTCCCACGCACCTGTGCAGCAACAGCATTAGGTCGGCTATCTTCAGCTTCAGTCAGACTTTCTGCATCATCTTCATCTTCACATTCACCATCACCAACATCTTCCTCGCCTCGGGTTGCCATGATGGGAAATATCACAGAGAGAATTGGTGATAATAGTTTGTTTTTTAATATCACCTTTGATTTAACTCGTATTAACCAACCAATGAAATGCAAAGCTTTCACACGACTGCTATCGCTCAGCTCTGTATTCATGGCAATATGTAGACAGAATTCAACCAAAGACTTGACATGTGGTATGACAATTCCAACTTCTGAATCAACCAATTCATCAAATACATCCATACACTCACATGCCTTGTCCTGGAAAGAAAGTTCTCATTTTAAATAATTCATGTGGACAAAGGAAATTGGATACTACCAGAGCCAAGGGCCTCGGTGGCTGCCCCCTCCCTCACCCCAATGTTTTTCAGAACATAGTTTTAGATTAGTTCCATTCCCAATAACTTCACATAATCACATAGCTAATAGGTGATTGATTAAGATCTTTAATTTTTTCTGCAAGTGCCTCCACAATGGAAAAGACCCAAAATTCAACTTTTTTCCAGGAGAGCAAACCTCCAGACACCCGTAGAATTGTGACATGTACTTATTAGGTTAAGTTCCTCCCCCCCACTCAAAAAAATCCTGACAGTGCAATTGGATGCTCTGAGAATGTTTTACCTCATCTGTGGAAAGAAGATTCTTGATGACAACAATAATTTTTGGAATTAGAGGACGCAGCAAGTTCTAAACAACGATTAACATATTCATATAGTTACAAGTAATACAAAGTATTACTGAAATCCAGGAACCAAAGATCACTGTTCTCTGCACTTATTAAGACATGAAGATTTCTAGTTGGGTGAGCTTTGTTGGTACTGTTCTGTTACAATGTTGGTTGCTTAGTAAACCTATGTGGGGTATAAGAGACTGAATGTTGTACACTATCACAGACTTACAATCTCATTCTCTCCAAGGTACAGAACCAAATTTGTGATAGCTCTGAAAGGAGACAAAATAATTTTATTGACATCTTATGAAGTTTATTGATGCCGGAACAACATTCATGAGGGCAAGGGGGAGGGAGATTTTTGAAGTGGGGCACTTTTCCACAGGTCATAATTTCTAATCAATTAACACTACCCACAACAATTAATCATGAATAACACAGCATTGCATCATGACAAGACGTCCTGTTTCAGTGTTGGCAGTAGTGCAGTACCTTATAGTGTAGAAAGCCACATTCTGATTTTCTTGATCTTCGAGTGTTTTGGAAAAAAGATGAAATAAGGATTGGAAGTGAGGTCTCAACTAAAGGAAAATAGCAATTCAAATATTTCACACAAAAACAAAGCTGTGAATAAAGTACCATATGGAGAATGTACAAAAAATTATACAATTATTATATCTAATACCTGTTCGCCAACTGTTTCTGTCACAATACTCAGAACATACATTGACATCTAAAAATGATCATCATTAAATTCTGTTGACCGCAGATGTTTTTAATTCATTAACCGATCAACCCTTTTAGTTGAGTTGTGCCCTGATGCATGTCAAACTACTAGGCCTAATCAAACTACCTGCCTATGTATCCCGTTAACCCTTCAAGTGCATGGCAATGGGCCTGGGTTCCAGAAAAGATCCACACTCCCCCCATGGAGGAAATTTCTGCCGTCTGAAGGGGGAGAGAATTAGAAAAATTGTTGATAATAGTATGTTAGGATGTCCGAAGAGGGGTTAATTTAACTTATTAATTTCAATTTCCTCTGTGGGGGAGGTATGGATGTTTTCTGGAATGACCAAATGCACCCTCATGCATCCTACAGTGCTTTATTATTTTAATATTTTAACATCCATGGACGACTTTACTTGCTGGTACTCGATGGGTTAAACAGAAATGCACCCTGTGGCCTTGTTGATTCAGGGTGTTAGCTAGCCCATATACTGTCCGTTTGATGGACTCTTCCAAATTGAAGTAGCTAACTAAGGGGCTTTCCCAACTGGGTCTACTGGAAAATTTTCGTTTTTTTCTGATGAGAAAGTGCATTGCGTTTTTTGCATTTATTTACTTTTTCCCATTAACTATTTTCTCAAAATGTATCGCGTTTCATTCATATTGGGTGTGTATTCACTGATCAGAAATGAAATGTACAAAACAAAGTGTAATCAGTGTACATCCGTGTTCATTCACCGGAAATGAAATATACAAAACGAAGTGCCATCGGGTGCATTTTTCAGTGTTCATTCACTGGAAATGAAATGTATAAAACCAAGCTACCGTTGTTTGCATCTAAGGAGAAACACGTTGGAAAAAAACACTATTTATTCCTACACAAGGACTTTGATTGGTCAAAAAAACTTTCCCAATTTACGTATAATGGACAAAACTTTTTTTCTGGCTAACACCCTGTGATTATTAAGGTGCAAAGCTATAGCCCCTTTCTATCTTAACAGTAAACAATTTTGCTCACCTCTCTATGGCCTGCTTGTGGACTTTTGATATACTCATTAAGAAATTGAAATAATTGAGGCCATTGGTCACTTGGTAACTCATGTTTGGCAATAGCACCAATCTAAAATCAAATTATTAAGCAAGAATATTAATTGATTAGGCTTAAATTTTCTATTCATTTATCATAATTAAATGGTCAATAATAAAATGCAGGGATGGATCCAGCATGATCTGGTAGGGGGGGGGGGG